ACACAACAAATATCATGAATTTTAGTGAAAATAACAAGAACCAGTCTTTATTTTATTTAGAGCACATACACGAACATCTTCAAATCTTCCTCATCGAACTACCCCACCGTCCTTCGTATAAATTTTTAATTCTTCAGGTGCAGACAAATCCCAACCGTTGAACAATGTTGCGCTACAAGTCTGCCAAACGTTGCGGGACACTAAAATACTATAAATACACAATAAAAAAAGAAAATTGTCATCAAACATCATGTTATTAATTTTTTGTATGTAACGTCTTTGTTCTTACCTTCCCTCCATGTTTCTCGCCGACCGAACGCACGATGATTCTTCTACAAGAACTGGACTCGAGTAATAGCGTTCTATTATCGAGTTGAACTGAGTAATAGCGTTCTATTACCGACTTGAACTGAGTAATAGCGTTCTATTACAAAGTTGAAATGAGTATTAGCGTTCCATTACCGAGTTGAACTTATTAATAGCGTTTTATTACCGAGTTGAACTGAGTAATAGCGTTCTTTTACAAAGTTGAAATGAGTAATAGCGTTCAATTACCAAGTTGAACTTATTAATAGCGTTCTATTACCGAGTTGAACTGAGTAATGGCGTTCTATTACGAAGTTGAAATGAGTATTAGCGTTCTATTACTGAGTTGAACTGATTAAGAGGCAGTTTTTTTCAATGTCACGTATTTGCAATGAAAAATGTCCAAAACCTAAAATCGTTTTGGCGTTCCTTTCAAAATTACTTTGGTTTAGCTTTATTCTCTAGTTTATACAGTTAGAAACCTTTTTAAATGCATCTGCCGGTTGAGAAACATAAAATAATAGTTAAAAATTGTCAATTAAAATATAATTATCAACGATGCTTTAAAATTGACGCCATGTTTACAGCCATATAAGCCAAACTTACTAAACTTCAGACAGCATTTTCTCTTTGACGTACGATCTAAAATCTTTTCATTTTAGTATTATTTTACAGATAAAGCACTAAACATACTTTTTAAGTTTGTTTGCCGATTGAGAAACGTATTGAAAAATAAAAAAATTGAATTTAGTCATAACCTCAAGTGGTAGATACGCATTATTTTTGAGCGTGTGTTACGTAACATACAAAAAATCTCCTCTTAATAGCGTTCTATTACCGAGTTAAGATGAATTGAGTAATAGTGTTCTATTACCGAGTTGAACTGAGTAATAGCGTTCTATTACCGAGTTGAACTGAGTAATAGCGTTCTATTACCGAGTTGAACTGAGTAATAGCGTTCTATTACCGAGTTGAACTGATTAATAGCGTTCTATTACCGAGTTGAACTGAGTAATAGCGTTCTATACCGAGATGAACCATATTATAATATAGCATTTGTAAATTCTGAACGCTGATTGGCTAAGAGCCGTGTTGCTATAATACTCAATGTCAACACGGAAACGTCGGTAAATTTCTTTCTTTATATTTCTTTGTGCTATATCATAAAACAAATATAAAACATTTTTTCCGTATTGATATACAGTATAGTTATATCAACACTCGTGGAAATTGGAAAAACTCGAAATTGCGTCGTGTTTCCACACAATTTCTCGTTTTCCCAATTTCCACTCGTGTTGATATAACTGTATATATCAACACCGAAAATGTTTTATCTTTGTTAAATAGCGTTCTATTACCTAGATGAACTGAGTAATAGGCTAGCGTTCTATTACCTAGTTAACGTTGAACTGAGTAATAGTGACCTATTACCGAGGTGAATTTTTTAATATAGCCTAAAGTGTTTTTACGAGACTGTAAAGTTTGGCAATTGCGGTAATACGCCTTCTTCTTTCAAGGAATGCACTTTTGGGCTTCCAATCAGGGCCGTACACAGCGGGGGTGGGGGGGGGGGCAACTATCCCCCCAGAGAAAACTATATTTACGATTTTTGGAATGACATTAATTATTCTTCGGATATTTGGGACTTTTTTCGGCATATAGGCCTTACTGTCCCCTGGTGGAAAAAGTCCTGCGTACGGCCCTGTTCCTTATATTGAGCTAGGAAGGAGCGAGACAGTGTTGTTTTCAAATGTATAAACATTTCAGACGTGAATATTGAGAAAATCTTTGAGATTCTACGCAATATATAAATTTATGTTATCAGGATGTTATACATTACCGGCATTCAATTATAGGCCGATATTATTTAGGCGGTATATTCATTATACACTGCGGCTACTGCGCAAGGTGCTACACCACAGAATAATGGCGACACTCGGTACACTGAAACCACAGAATTAGCCTGTAACACTTTGTACATACAGCACGTGCGTGTTTCGTTGTCTAAATATAGAAATGATTATAGAGTTTAGAGGCGGAGTATGGAGTGTAGCGGAGTACGGAGTTTATTTTTTCTAAAGATTCGATTTTAATGAGACTCCGCGTTTGAAAATGCGCGGAGTTTGTCAAAAAATTGTTTATTTTGTCCAAAGATTCTATTTTAATGAGACTCTGCGTTTTCCATTTGCAGCGTCTTTCTCAATTTGAGACTTTGCACTATCCTCGGCCCTACAATCGCGTGCAAAAATAACGAGACTTTTCACATTTGGCCATTTTAAAGTACGTCGGCCTCCCCCCTGCCCCCATGATCAATATTGGAAAAAGTGGATTGAATTTTCTATTTTCAGTCATTCACACAACATTGAATTGGGGGTGAGGGGGGCATTTATGCGGTTGTCTCAATATTTTTTGCTCCTGATTGTCTCTATTTGTACGTTTGAATGAAACGTAATTCGTTCATGTTGATTCAACTTATTGCTCCAGGGAAGACACTGACTTGGATTTCTTGCTTTTCTATAACTGAGTACTTCATGTAAAAAGAATATAGGGGATCTTGAGAACTATACAGGGTGTATCAAAAAAAAACTGAACAGATTTGAAATTGCTCTCAATTTCGCAAAACACCTATTTGTATCTGTTTTTTATATATATAGCTCCTTTGGGTACTTGTAATGTAAAATAATGAAAAAAATTTCTCGAACTCAAATTTTGTGAACCAGGGGGGGGGGTGTCTTTTCCAACAAACTAAAAATGGCTCGCGCACAAAATTTAAAAGCTGTAATAAAATTTTGAGTTGATAGATTGAAAATTTGTCGGGTTTTTAATTACTGTACAAAATTTCAGATAATTTGGTTTAGTTTAAGCCCTTTAACTATTCATTTTGTTCTAAAAAGTCAGCCTTTCGCATGCTTAATTAATGCCTTTACCTAATTTGCATATTGCTGACATATGCAAATTAGGCAAATGGATTAATTAAGCAGGCAAATAGCTGATTTTTTGGGAAAATTGTAACTTTGCGTGAATAGTTAAGGGGCTTAAACTAAACCAAATTGTCTGAAATTTTGTACAGTAATTAAAATCCCGACAAAGTTTCCATCTGTTAACTCAAAATATGATTGCAGCTTTTAAATTTTGTGGCGAGCCATTTTTAGTTTGTTGGAAAAGACACACACCCCTGGTTCACAAAATTTGAGTTCGAGAAATTTTTTTCATTATTTTATATTATAAGTACCCAAATAAGCTATATATATAAAAAACCAGATACAAATAGGTGTTTTGCGAAATTGAGAGCAATTTTAAATCTGTTCAGTTTTTTTTGATACACCCTGTATAATAAACAGAACATTACACGGTGGCTTGAAGATATGACTTTTATCTTCTCGTCTTAAAAACAATATTTTACTCACTCGCTGCGCTCGTTCGTAAAATATTGTTTTTACTACTCGAAGATAAAAGCCATATCTTCGCGCCGCCGTGTAATATTTAACAAATATAAAACATTTTCCGTGTTGATATACAGGGTGTTTAAAAAAAAACGCTACGGAAATTCAACAGGCTGTCGTGCATCATAAACTTAGCTAAACAATTCAATTTTTACATAGGACGAAAGAGCTGTTATTTAGCTTCTCTATGTACCTTTTTTAAACCGTAACGATGAGAAATGGCCACATACTCGTCAAATAAAAATTGCCGGTCGAAATCACATTCTTCCACCGTTGGGAATTGCATGGAAAACGAACCTTAGACAATTCCCAAGAGGGAATTAAAATTGAATGTTAACTTATCTAAAATGAGCTCAATTAACTCTTCAATCTTAAGCTTCGTCTTAGTGAGACAATAACTCAATAAGAACGTTCATAAAACATGGTTCAATTAAACCCTGAACAGAGACGATTCGTAATCAAAACGTTTTACGAAACAAATAGCTTGCAGGTTGCTTGCAGCAGGCTCGCGTTGCTTTTGGATTGACTAACTTTGCATAATTAATGTATTTTCAATTCCCAACTGTGGAAGAATGTGATTTCGACAGGCAATTTTTATTTGACGAGTATGTGGCCATTTCTCATCGTTACGATTTAAAAAATCGTAATTTAAATAACAGCTCTTTCGTCCTATGTAAAAATTGAATTGTTGAGCTAAGTTTATGATGCACGACAGCCTGTTGAATTTCCGTAGCGTTTTTTTTAAACACCCTGTTACAGTTATATCAACACGAGTGGAATTGTGTATTTACACAATTTCGAGTTTTCCCAATTTCCATCAGTGTTGATATATTAATTAATATATATCAATATGGAAAAATGTTTTATATTTGTTTTATGATATATAGCACAAAGAAATATAAAGAAATTCCGTGTTGTCATTGAGTTATATCAACACGGCTCTTAGCCAATCAGCGTTCAGAATTTACAATTGCTATATTATAAATATATATATATATATATATATATGTTTGACAAATTGACAGTTACTGTCTACATATAAACTAAACTGAAGGATGCTTTCAGACACTTCAAATGCCATGCACTCTACAATATTTCACATCATGTCAATTATACATCTGACCAGCTGAATCCATCTGTAATGGTTAATTAACTTTGTCAATATTACCATATACATAATTCATAAGATACGGATAAGTCGGATATATAACAAGCCAAGCATTTTGCAGCCGAACTATAAACACTTATCAAGAGCTTCTTCGTCCGCAAAATTTCTGTAACTCACTTAATTAAAGAGGTAAGTCATGTCAGTTGGTGTGAAATATATACTAATAGATTTTCTACCGATTATATTATTTTACATTAATATGAGCTTGATGAGAAGAGTTTCTCACTGCGATGATGGGTAATTTTGTACACTTCACTCCACTGAAACAAATTCAACAATTTGGACAGACAACAAAAATGGTTGTTTAACTGACACATAATTTAATGATGATGCAAGATGCTATCAGTGCGCGCGCCCCCAACACAAAGTCCGTTATCATTCACAACACTGGTCGATCACAGAATATGTAACCGGTTCATTTCTAAAGCCTAGTTTACACTATCATCACAATACTCAGTAGGAATTTTGTGTAGGTAAATTCTAAGTTTTGATTGAAAAATTTGTAAGAAATGTTCTAAGAGAACTGACTCACTGGTTTAGCACTGACAGTCAGTTTCCTCATGCAACATTTCTTACGCAAAATTCCTACGGTGAACACAGGCTGTTTTTATTATAATATCAAAAGGCCGCTTTTTATTATATTATCATGTTGTTTTATTTCTAGTCAATTGATGTATTTAATCTTTTAAGGAATGAAGAGTATGAAGATTGCAGTTTTTCTGGTATTGATTATTGCTCAGCAGAGTTACGGCCGTACACGTTGCAGTGGATATCCTCCATGTCGAAAAAGCCCAATCGCATGTGACTATGGTAATGTTAATGGGCGTTATGTTTAGAATAGAATAGAATAGAATAGAATAGAATAGAATAGAATAGAATAGAATAGAATAGAATAATTTATTTAATGTCGAATGACACAGAGTGTGGTTGCCAAATCACTCGAGTCAGGGACTCATGATAGAAGTGCTCGAATAATTATGAATGTTTACGTTTTGTGACATATGGAACTTGAGTATTTTATGTTTAAATTTTGATGTCAAACATTTCATTGCGAGATAAGAACAAGGCTATTTCTCACTCAGTTATACGCTGGGGGTGAGGCAGAATCTTGGAGCTTAAAATCCCATCAGGGTAAATTAAAAACAAATTCTGCCAAATCACGATTTAAAAAAAATCCGCATCGCGTTGAACAGGAGAGAAAAAATTTCATGTTTCATATGTGCCAAAAGTGAATTTTTAATAATTCCAAATTTCACGTCATCTCCCGAGATATACTTGAATAAGCGCCTCATGTCCTGCGGTGGTTTGTGTTCTCGTCATCAAGCGCGAGCGGGAAGACACGCGAGAGAGATCTAGAAAAAGTGAAAATCACATTAGCCACGCGTCCCACGCAAAGGCCACGCAAGCCATAGCAACAACATGCTGCTTGCTATGAGCAGCTGACCGTCATGATAATATCTGGAGTGTTGTGTTCCATTGTAGCAAGCGATGAACTCAATATTCGCGTTGAAGGATCTAATGACCTGAAAATATAAAAAGAACGTGTCAACCAAATATGATATAACTTTTTGTGTTTGGTGGTAGCGGTATAATAAATAATGTCATGAATAACCGGTTGAAACAGTATAAGATAACGAATATTTAAGTTTATTTGAGTTTGGAATAACAGCAAAGAACTAATCGAGCAAATAACTAAAAAATATATTAAAATAATGAATAATTATGAAATACTTAACTGACGAATAATATGTAGTCAGAATTAAATCCTGCTTTCATCCCTGATTTCGTTACACCACCTGTCAATATGGATTTGTTTTTAAAATTAAAGCGATTGTATAATGTATTTTTAGTTTCAATTTAGGAGAGCAACATAACTGCCGAAATCTGGTTTTAATTACATGTAATCTAACGTTTATACTGTAGTTTTAAAGTAAGGTTTGAACTGTAGATGGTTTAAACTAACTTTGCTGTATTTCAAGCTTAGGGACCGGTCATTATTTATGGTGGGGGGTGGCACCGAAGAGAAATGTTTTTCGTGGCATAAATTTTGCTTACCCAACCATTAAAAAATCAAAAATTTGATTACCCAACCTCAAGTATCATTTTAAAAAATAAATACCCACCCCTGGCCAAAACGTTACAAAAGGATGTCATTCAGTTGTCACATGCACATGACACAAGTCCTTTACCACTTCAGTGATACGTTTGATAACGTTCGGCTTGTGAATGTTTGATAGATTGATAACGTTCGGCTTGTGAAATTTACTGACTTTTCTGCAGTCTAAAGTTTCATGTTGTCTGCACATTTACTATCTTTGGAGACATGCACCATTTGTCTCCCAACAAATCGGAAAATGATGAAGATATAGATTGATTCACATATTGTATTGACATATGACTGTTGACTTTCAAGTTTTCAGTCTTCAATATTTGAGCGAGTCATGCTTTGGAAATGACAATAAATTTTTATTACACAACCTTTGAGTTGTTTCGTTTTTGATTTACCCAACCTTTTGACTCACTCAAAATTTTGTTTACCCAACCCTTTTCTCTTCGGTGCCATCCCTCGCCATAAATAATGACCGGTCCCTTATCAAGTCTGTTATGTTGACTGCTCAGCGTAACTGCCGAAATCTGGTTCTAATTGCATGTAAATCTGCATGTAAGGTTTAAACTGTAGTTTTAAAGTATTGCCAAAATTGAAATACCTGTGGTTCCGGTTCCCAACCGACCTTATTTTTTTCTGCCAACCCTATTATTTTTTCAACGCGATTGACCGTGCGACCCTATTTTCTCCGGGTGGTTGCGGGCTGCTCATACAGCGTGCCAAAATGGCGTCTGTTGTCACACTAATTTTGAACCAAATTGCCTAGTAAATTCGCCCATAGGAAGTATGCATCTCTAGTTAATATTGATGCCGGGACTCTACTGAAAATCGCCCAGCAAAAAAACGCCAAAACCATGAAAAAAATATTTTAAAAAAATTTATTTCCGACCGACCGACCTTAATTTTTTCACGATATGAAACCGGAACCACAGGTATTTTTTAGGCCTAAGGTTTGAACTGTAGCTGGTTTAAACTAACTTTGCTGTGTTTCTAGCTTATCAGGTCTGTTATGTTTACTGTTCTGGATGCAGCACCGCAATTTTCGCCTGTTGTCTGGGATGTGAATTATGTTCTCCAGGTTCTAATGAGATGATCAAACTTCCTGAAGCACTACGTCAGAAATATGTGAATAACTTACAAGGATAGAAGAACGATGTTGTTGAAAGCACTCAGGAAATATTGTCTGTACTAGTTCTTGATAAAGTTTAATCAGATTTTACCCACGTGCACAATGTCCGTAATCTGTTGTGTAATATCAATTATAATAAAGCATCCTGAAAGGAAATTCATTTGGTTGTGTTATTATTTATTTTTATTTCAAGTTATTTAAAGACGCCAGCCCCAACAGTAAAAGCTGGTGTCACTGCGTATATATATATATATATATATATATATATATATATATATATATATATATATATATATATATATATATATATATATATATATATATATATATACATATATATATATAGGCGAATGTCAATAAGTATATTGAGTGTCGAATCATACGAATAGAGTGCTCGATACGTAAGTAGAGCAAATGAAAGACAAACTTGAGTTACTTCGTTTAAAACATTTATTCACGACAAATTTGTTTCGTATGGCAAACTAAGCTTGCCACACTCATCAGGTGAATGATGATATCGCGTATTTACATGATGTTATAACCTATAGGTAACTTGAGCTATTATATAAAAATGTTTGACGTCATCAGGAAAGCGTAAACCTATGTCTGTAACCTGAGCTATTGGCTGCAAAGCAGGAATTTTTTCCTGTGCCTACATGCGGATATTAGTTCGTTTCTTGAGTTCAAAGAGCTTAATTTGGGATAGTAAATTATAATAAACTTTTCGTGCAGGCATAATTTGCAACGTTTTGTTTTGTTTGAGTAGGCCTTACATTTCTTTAAAATTTTCCAGCGGATAGAGTATTGTATATTGGATTGTTTCAACTGTCCAATATATATATATATATATATATATATATATATATATATATATATATATATATATATATATATATATATATATATATATATATATATATATGTATATATGTATATATATATAAATCACGAACCCTTCTTCCAAATTCGATATCATTTCAATATAAGTAAATCACAAAACGAACTTTTTTAAGACTTTATTCTTATCCTATGTTTCGGGGCATGCCCCTTTATCAAGGATAAATAACAGAGTTAGATGTACATGCTTTTATATCCTATTCAATTCATTAACATAAATTACCCAAAATCCCTTACATTTAATCCCTTAGGTGCAAACGTGTCCAAATTATATGCCCAAAATGCCTCTGTTTGCGTAGGATCATTCATATTTGTTTTGTCAATAATAATAACTCTGAGATCGGTCAAGCCCTCGTGTTCCTCGCCAAAAAAATGCGCATACAAGTGCTCGCCAGCCATATGCCTGATCCCTTGTCCATATTTCCTAAGAGAACTCTTATGGTTGTTAAACCTCTTCCTAAAAGTTGTTATAGTACTACCAACATAAACCTTAAAACACCTAGCACACTTAAGCAAATAAATCACCCCTACCGAATCACAATCGAAGGAATAATTTATCCAGTAAGTATGTCCATTGTGTTCAAACTTTTGTGTTTCCACTACAAAATTACAGATCTGACATCTGGCTTTATCGCACTTTTTCATTCCCTTCTCCTCAACATTTACCTTTTTAACCTTAGATCTAATAAGATTATCTGCCAAATTTCGTGGCCTTCTAAATTTGATCAACGGGTTGGGGAGTTGAAAAAACATCTGTGTGATAGAGGATTTAAAGAACGTCAAATAGTTTCTCAATTTGAGAGGGCTAAGAGTAATGACAGAAGAGCTTTGCTGTTTCACAGGAAAGAAAAAGATTTAAAGTCAAATATGTTGCCTTTGGTTTTGAATTTCCACCCTGCACTATCAGGGGTCGGTTAGGTAGTTAATCCTTTGTGGCCTGTTTTGCAAGCTTCGGAGGGTGAGGGAAATTTTGGGTGATATGAAGCCCTTGATTTCGTTTAGAAGGCCACGGAATTTGGCAGATAATCTTATTAGATCTAAGGTTAAAAAGGTAAATGTTGAGGAGAAGGGAATGAAAAAGTGCGATAAAGCCAGATGTCAGATCTGTAATTTTGTAGTGGAAACACAAAAGTTTGAACACAATGGGCATACTTGCTGGATAAATTATTCCTTCGATTGTGATTCGATAGGGGTGATTTATTTGCTAGGTGTTTTAAGGTTTATGTTGGTAGTACTATAACAACTTTTAGGAAGAGGTTTAACAACCATAAGAGTTCTCTCAGGAAATATGGGCAAGGGATCAGGCATATGGCTGGCGAGCACTTGTATGCGCTTTTTTTTGGCGAGGAACACGAGGGCTTGACCGATCTCAGAGTTATTATTATTGACAAAACAAATATGAATGATCCTACGCAAAAAGAGGCATTTTGGGCATATAATTTGGACACGTTTGCACCTAAGGGATTAAATGTAGGGGATTTTGGGTAATTTATGTTAATGAATTGAATAGGATATAAAAGCATGTACATCTAACTCTGTTATTTATCCTTGATAAAGGGGCATGCCCCGAAACGTAGGATAAGAATAAGTCTTAAAAAAGTTCGTTTTGTGAT